TATATATATATATATATATATTAATTAAGATTACATAAATATTTTCTATATATATATATATAATATGTATATTTTTTTTTACATAATAATATACAAATTACGAAATTATCTTATATAATTTTGTTTCAAGTTTCTCCGTTTATTATGATCTTTCGAACGCCTTCGAATTGAGTTATCTAAAATTGACATGAGCTGAGTTAAAATCATAGACTTATAATCATAGACGGAGCGTTCATACGAGAAAAGCAGAAGACAACATTGGCCTAGTTTCCACTGAGGGTTTAAACCGGATCAGAATACAAGAACCAATCAGCTATACTCGAGTATTCCCCTATTATAGTCGAACGACAGAGGAATGCTCGACTGTAGTTGGTTGATTCTTACATTTTGATCCGGTTTAAATCCCTCGATGGAAACTAGGCCATTGAAAGATAGCTCTATTCCAGACATAGTTATTTCTCTCTTTCATAGTGAGCATTGGGTGGGAGACCAATCAGCTTGAGCTGAGATCATAATTCTCAAACGTCTGTCTTCGTTGTTCTCGGCTACTCCCGGCCTGCCGGGAACCGGCCAATCAGTTCACTACTAGAAAAGAAGAGAACTACTCTGCGACTCTTTCTTTCTCTTTCTATCAAGTCTTCAGCTTGCCTCGTACGAATGCTCCGTCTATCTTACAAAAGTCTATGGATTTAAGGATGCCGTGTAAACGTGATCAGATTCAGAATTCAGACTTTTAGCAGAAAATGCGATCTTACCTTATTTAGTGAATTATTATAGGGAAAATTTGTAATATTTTCTATAATTACACAGGATTTTGAAACACATTTTCTCACTGGGAGTAATGTCTTTAAACAAAATATTCTTACATAACATTAACGATTCATCGCAGTCGATATTTATCAATGGCATTTCTCGCTATGACAGATAACATTAATGTAATTTCAAGACCGAAAGTTAGATTCTGTCAATTTTCCGACAATATGCGAAACAAGATAGAGACTGTTGAAGATTCTAAACAACAATCTGGTCTGCAAACAAGTGGTTTAAGAATCAAGGAAATAGTGACGCTTAAGAAACCCATCAGAATTGTACATCCTAAAAAATTTGCAAATATTTGTAACAAAGATACATCTTCAAATAATATTGGCACTTTGTCACATCATTGTACTACATCTGGCAATGTTCGAAATATGTTTTTGTCCAATAAAAATACGCCAAAAGTCAAGAGTACAATTCTGTCTGATGCAAATGATATTCGGAATACAAAGAATAGTAGTAAAATGTTGCAACGACAGAACAAGAGTTCACAAGATGATGTTTTAAAAGACAACGCAAAGAATGTACGACAGAATGGAAAAGAAAATAAAGATAAACTATCGAATAAGTCTGTATCTAATAAAAATATAAGCGATAAAACAACAGGAAACTTTCAACATAGTGTACAATCAGTTACTCGAGAGAAATTTAAACTTCCTGTAGATAACATTCATATACCAAAAGTAAATATTCAAGATTTTAAAACATCAAAAATGACAAAGTCGCAATCTGCGTCAAGTATTATTAGAAAAACAAGAAATTCAATGATCGAAGGGATAATTCTTAATGCAAAACCAGTTTCGTCGCATTATAAAACTATGACAAAAAATAAAATATCTCCAGTCAAAAAAATTGTATCACGTAATGTGTCAGGTCCTAAAATCAAAACATCTGTGGGATCAGTTTTTCGCAAGGAACAGACTGATCCAAAAACAAGTGATACAAATGAAAGATGTATCATTGCATTGGATGTTACTACTGTACAAGATTTAACTCAACCAGAATATAACTCTATCATGTGTACTGTTAATAAGCTGAAAGAACTTAAACAGCAGAAAATTGTTGGAGACATCAATCATTTGCCATTTGCGCTAAAGAGTTTTTTAAATGGAAAGGTAAAACAAACTATATGCGCGCGCGCACACGCACACACGCACACGCACACACCCATTTTATTTGAAATCATTTCATTACAGATTTCTGCAGCACTTGATTTTCCATTAGATGAGACGCTTTATAAAAATTTGATAGATTTGAGTATAGATGAAAAACAATTGCCGTCCACCATTACACGAAGTAAGGATCCAGAACCACGGCAAAAAGATATAGTACCGCAACTTTCTCACTTCTTCATACCCGAAGATGTAAAGGAAATTTGTGAGGCTGTACATGTTAAGCTTCGGGCATCAAAAATTGACAATAATTGGAACGCCTTTAAAATTAGCAACAGAATACTCGAATGGAAATACAGTATAGATGATATTGATTAGCATTTATTTTTCTCCTATATAATTTTGTTCAATAAAATTATTTAAATTTTAAATTGTATAATATCTACAGCGCAAGTAAAAAGTTACAAAAAAAGATATCAACTGACAATACAATTACTTAATAAGAATACACAGAATACAAAGGCAATTTATTCAATATATATATATATATTTTTTTTTTAACATAAAATAAATTATTAGAGATATATTTCATCTAATTGTTTATACTTAAAGATGAGATATCATACATTTAGTCTAATGAAAAAGCATTTGTTTTATTTACTCGTGAAATGATATTTTTATTGATTTTCCATCAGAATCAAATTCTGATGGCATCGACACAGAATTGCCATAGTATCTACGTTGTAGATAAACATAGATGCGACATAAATTGTAGTAGAGACATGTACCAGCCAGTATCATTCCAATTACAACTCCAGCTATAATTATCCTATTAAAATTTCATTAGACTGGTGTTAATACATCTAAAGTATGAATTTTCCAAATGTAAATGTATTATATATAATATTTACATAGTAATCCATATATCATAGTCTTTGTAACTGCAGCATACATTTTCGTCACAGCAATACTCTGATGATTCACACAAACCCCATACGCAGTAATGCGCAGTAGTCTGGAAATATATATATACAAAACAATAT